TGCGGAAAGTATCACAGGGCTGAGAGAGGCAGCCACGCTGCATGATCTAAGAGACTCACTGCAGACAGCAGGAGGCGGGCCAAGTGACTGCAGAGCATTTGGGGGGAGATGAGGGCTGGGTTTGAAAAGACAGAAGAGCCTTAATGGCAGGGTGGTGCAGAACACGGGTACAGGGGCCGCTGGACAAGCCTCCAAGGCAGGCTTAATTTACACTGCAAGTGGATCAGGGACACAGTTAAGAACTGTTCTGTACTGCCAGCTCATTTGTATGTTTAATCTATTTTAACTTTTGACGATGAGGTAACTACCTGTCATTTCAGACCTTGCAGACAAAACTATCCATTTCTGCTCCATACTGATTTCACATTTTTTAATGCAAATTATTTGGAGTACTGTGAGAAGCAAACTCTGTATTCCAAGTTCAGTTTTCAACATTCATAATGTATTAGTTTCTGCCCCTGGTAGATCTATTGTGAATGGCTGAGTATAAATCACCATAAAATTGATAAAATAGATTTTTTTCCTTCAAAGAGGAAAGAAGAATACAGAGTAAAGTTATAATTTACTGAGTTGATATGTTTATAGTTATAACTACTAGAAATATGTATATTTAGATTAATTGTAGGATGAAAAGATCAATAGTAGAATGCTACCTATAACTCTTCACAGAAAGAGCTCATTTGTCAATCAGCTTTGATGGCTTGTCTAAGTCACTAAGTCACTGGGATTTTCTTCTGAGTCTTACACACTGAGAAATAGAGGAGAGCCAGGAAACAAGGTTGCCCATCACACAGTGCAGATCAAATCCCACTGGATGAAGAGTGGGGACTTGGCACCTTCATAACCTGAGCAAGTGCCTTTCTCTCTCTCTCTACCACATGCCTCTGCCCTCAACCAAGCAGTAGGTACAGAGCCTGCCATCGCTTGCCAACTTTCCTTCTGTTTCTTTTGCTTGTGTTTTGGTTGGTACTGGGGTGGCTCTGAGAATTTCAGTGGGATCTGGCATAGGAGAAGCTAACTTGTCAGCACATTTAGTCTGGGTGTGGTGGGCCATATTTCTGGGGTGTCATCATCTTCGTGGCTAGGTATCACTAGTTGTCTGGTGTAGAAGGGGTACCAGGCCCGCTTCTGCTGCCTCTCATCACACACCTGGTCCCCTGACAGCAGAGGGGTGGGGCCTGCACAGACAGGCTTCAGGGGGCTGGCACTGGGTATGAGTCAACAGTGAAGCAGAAACAAGGTTTAAAGAAAGAGCCAGAAGCTGAACCAGGAAGATTTCATGAGGTGTGTAAAATTCTAAGCGGAGACTGTGGTTCTCACTGATACCTTGCACTATGGTAATGGTTCTCTGCTGTGGGGACTGTACCCACACCAAGAATGTATATATGCCATACATGTCCTTTTTTATGTCCGAATGGAACTACATGAGATAGAATTTAACAGGATGACTAAGTTTGTCAAGCACAAGTCTGAAGCTGTGTGACAAGCACCTGTGTGCAAAGTCACATGTATTATTTATTATAACTAATAAAAAATATCTTTTTTTCAAAAAATGTGCTAAAAGACCAAATTATTCTCATCTGCTTTCTACAGAAAATACTATAAAACCATCACCAATATAATGAATATAATGGAGTATACAGAAAAAACTAAAGGAAAAATTACTATGGTTCTATCAATTAATAAAAATAATGTGATTTTTCTGCATTCTTGTTATGTTTTTAAAATTTGTTACTTATTTGGACATCTTTTCTCATTCTAAATAAATATTCATTTTCATACCAATGTGTAAGTTTTTTCTTTCTCTTAAACAAGGTCCTTCAAATTGAATAGGCAATATAGCAATTGACACATTTAATAGCAAACCAAACTGCTACACATTTTAAAACTTACTAGAACAAGAAACATCTTTTCATTCAGAAAAAAATACAGGCATGGCTTTTTTTAACCATCTCTTCATAAACTAGAGAAAGAAAGCAGGCTTTGTTGTCATTTCTGTGAACATACAAAAGGTAAAATTGCAGGCTGTAATTGTTGTAAGCAATTCATAAGCAAAATAATGATCGATTTCCCTTAAACTACAACCAGATTCTGCACATTTCTATGCTTACAGATAACCTGGGACAGAAACAGGGAACAGATCTGGCCACTGAGGTGACATGAAGGAAGGAGAAAAACAAATTGTTTACCCTGTAATTGTTGTTGAGCCCTTTAGACATTGATCATATTCCTCAGGGATCACAAACCCAGGACCCCGCCTAGCCAGGAAATGTGGTGTATCAGTTTCCTTCCTCAAAAATTGCTAGTGCTAGAAATTTCTTCTTTTTAACTAGTGTCCAATTCTAGAGTTGTATCCCCTGAAAGCCAACGGACTCTACCCACATCTCCTTTAAGTTTCATTCTTTTTCACTAGCATCTGTTATGGTGTTCTTTTGGTCCACCCAGTAATGGACAAGAAATGATTCTAAAGCTCTTCAGGTAGGGCAATCAATCGGTTAGTAACCCTTCTCTCTAAGCAAACCTGGAAGGCTCAGACAAGGTGGTTTTCTTTCTAGTTACTGATTGACATTATATATAGTTACAAATTGGCTTCTCCTCCATATGCACTTTATGTTTAATATGTTGGTAAGCAGTTGTTCTGCATGATATTAAATCTTTTAATATTTCAAAACTGCAAATACAAGCATGTACCATTCTTTAAGGATCTCCCCAGTCTCTAGCTACTGCACTAGCATCACAAAGCATGGTCACATACTGAGGCCTTTGCCTGGATTTCTGTTTTCCTAACATAGACCCCAGAAAGTGCACTTTCCATCTTGCAAAGTGGAATCTGTACAGCATTTGAGTAATGAATCAGTCACAGATAGGGACCTGAATCTCGGCTAAGCCACGTTTTAATAAATGACTTTGGGCAAGTCCATAATTGCTTCAAACCTCAGTTTGCTTATCTGGAGACAGAGAGGAAAGCTGTCTGTGACTCCCACAACTGTTAGAAACAAATGGAATACTACAAGGGTTAGTACAACTCATCACACATCAGCAGGACACAGTATATGATGAAAGAAGTATTTTGCAGGACAGGAGAACAGGAAAACGTACATCTTGAAACTGAAAAGCAGGAAGAAGAAAAATGTTGATCGCCACATTAACTTTTCCCATGTGGACATTTGCTTTAAATCTTTGTGTTTTTAGAATTACTCAAGGTAGAATGTACTCTTTTATCATAATTACAACATTACAGACACATACAGAATCAAGTTATAGCTTTCCCAGTCTTAGTACAGTCTTAAGTTCAGTTCTATCTATATTCAGGAAACTGTTCCAACAGTTGGGCTCTCTTAGAGCTCCTGGGTCACTCCTGTTGTCACCTATGCGAGTCACACATCCCAGGCTTCCCAACCACCAGCTACAGCGAAGAGCTCACCATCTGATACTGCCCTCTGTACTGCTCTCTTGGACCATTTCCTCCCATTCCAACCCTGAAACAAATGGTTCCTGGAGTTTCTTTTTTTTTTTTAAGATTTTATTTATTTATATAAGAGCTGGGGTACAGGCCAGAGGCATGGGAGGGTGAGATGATTCACCAGAGACAGAGCAGGGAGCAGAAAAGGCAGATGGACTGTAAGCACTGCTGAGGGGAGCAGTGGGCGAGACTTGAGAGGTCTGCTGCACCATGTGGGTATCTCCCTGGCCAGCTGGGAATTGAACTTGCACTGCAGAGGCTGCAGACAGCTTCATAGCGCTGTGCTCAACCTGCTGCGCCACTGGGAAGGCCCCTGAAGTTTCTTTTCAAAGAGTAAATTAGATCTCTGTCCTCTCATGCAGTGTGAAGAAGGAGCAGTCAGTCAGGACATTGTAAAATGCCGACACAGGACACTGTTCTGTGCCTAGAGCCCATGGGCTGGCCTTCACTATTACAGGCTCAGGAGCATACTGTGCCCAGGTCTCCAGAGAAGAACTGCCTCTCAGGAACAGACTCACACTATACAAGCTCTCATAGCCTGAAGGAGACTCACAGGGCTCGTTTTAAAATTTATAGTGGAAAATATCACTATCCCTGTGCCATGCCCCATGCTGACTCCCCTCAGAGAGATAAGCACAAATTTCAAATTTCAGTTCGAAATTGGTTGGTGCATATGAAGATTAAAGGTTCTTAGAACATACTGCCCAGTCTCTTTTCAGGAGGGTGCTATCAACTTAATCTCACTGGCTGTGTATCAGTGCCCATTTTAATATGCTCTCGCCACACCAGTTATCATTGAAATATCTTTAGCTAATTTATAGGCAAACAAACATTCTCAATTGGTATCAAATGCCATTTTGAATCTCTTTGCACCTTTTGGGTCTATAACAGTACCATGTCATGGACAGTTGTAACAAGAGGTGGCTTTCATCTACAAGAGTCTCCCAAGGAAGACACCTGCAATAGAACTGACCTGCAGAACTTTATCTGGAGAGTTCACTGGACATCCCTAAAGCTGAATTTGAAGAGAAACTTTTCTCCAGGGAAAAATATGACAACCCTTTTGATTCTAAAGCACCAGGTTTTAATCCTTCCCAAAGAACATGCACATCCTTAAAATACTAGAGCACAGAGCTTTGCTCAAGTCAACTTTTATATATCCATAAGAAGTGCAGTTATAGCATATGAGTCACTCCTACTAGTGTTGGCATAAAAAAGAAAAGATTGGGGTTTGGGAATAGAAAAGAGAGAGTAGAATAGAGATTTTCATGGGATACTTGGTAGAAAGGTAAGAAAAAAATAGTGGAAGGAGGTCAACTGAGGCTCAGAGCTACATCCTGATATCTGCTGGAAAGAGAGAGCTGAGTTGTACAAACTCCAAGATGATGATGATGAGCATGATATTATCTGGAACAACAATGGGACTTCACAAGACCAGGGAGGCGATTCAAGAATTCTGAGTTGCTGCACCTCCCCCTGCAGTGACCTTTAGGGCTAACCGCCCCTAGGTCCGGCTGGGCAACCAGCGCGCAGGGGAAGAACAGCAAAACCCTACCTGCTGCACCTCCCCCCGCAGTGATCTTTAGGAATGGCTTTCGCCACGGTCCCTAGATCCGGCTGGGCAACCAGCGCGCGGGGGTGAACAGTCTGAAGCAGAGGAAGTGCAGCGGAAGTTCCCTGAAAAGGCAGAAGCTTATCAATAGATAACGACCACCAAGAACCACTACAAGAATGCTAAAAATCTTATCCAGTCTTTCTAGAACTACAAACTTTAATCCCTTATTTGTCTTTCTAAACTTCCTTCCTTCTTCTATAATGGTCATTGCTTGTTATGTAGATCACCTCCCTGATGATGATTGACTGAGCCCATGAGCAAGCTAATTTCATTGATATTCATTCCTGTGCTTTTGGAAAACATATATATACTGGTCACAACTCAAATAAAATTACACTCAGATTTTCACTCTTGAAGTGTGTCTGTTTGTCATTTCTTTCGCCGACGCCCTGACCACCCTGCACGCTTCTCTCAACCCTGAGGTGGCCTCATCGTCTACTGCTGTGCTGGTCCGCGGCACTGAGTCACCTAATGAAAAAGAAATTAAACATCTGGGTGAAAAATCAAATAGGAAAAAAATGTAACTATAATAATACAAAGAGATTCCCAGAATTTCCAAGCATTTTTCTAAAGCTTCGAGGATGGGTAACTAGTAACACTTTTCCATAACATGAATTGTGTAATTTAAAATGTCATTTTAAAATATATTAAATGTAGTTGATATTCTTTTAATGGCATTAAGTTGGATGTGTTTTGTACTGATGAATGTCAACATTTTAAAAGGGCATTCATAGGCTTTTCTTTGACCTTGGTCCCTCAACTCAATTTTTTCTATGGTTCGAAGACTCAATCTTGCCTTTTCTTCTACCAAGAAAGTTCCTAGAGGAAGGTCTCTGTAAAAGGATGCTGTGGGTGCCCTGACTTTCTTCCCATGAGGATCTTCTTTTTAGAATCAAGTCAGCGTGTTACAAGGGAATATTTCCATTTCTTTAGGAAGTATCTTTAGAAACCACTGGGTCCACACTTGCCTGCAGAAAAGAATTCAACACTGGGGATTTTATCCTGCCTTCTCATCATTTGACTTGATCAACTTCCTCACTCTGTTACTGTTTTTGGCTCCTGTCAGTGTCCTAACACTCCTTCCTGAACCCCAACCTACCCCCAGCACACATCTGCTCTTGTCTATAATCACTTCACACAAGACCAATTCAACACAGCTCTGCCTGACATCATTAATTTTGTCTCTTCTATCTACCTGCCTCCTCTGTCCCTCCTGTCCCATCTCGGTAATCCTAAAACAGTGAATACCATCTGAGAAAGTGCCACAATAAATAAACAGGTCAAATGCCAAAGTGAATAATTCATGGAATTGCACATGGAACTGATAGGGCTTCAATTCACATATAAGCATATATTAGTTTGTAACCTTAGGCAAGTCACTTCACCTGTCAGAGTTTCTGTTTCCTCATCCATCAAAGCAATATACTAAAAGCACCACCTTAGACTATTAAGCTAAGTGTCAGTCATACACTTGTCAGTTCATAAATATTGGTATTGTTATAGGACAGGGAGAGGGGCAGCCCAAACCCCGCAAACCTGCCTATTCTACATGGGTTCGGCCATCCGCCGCATCAACACAAAACATAGGAGACTTTAATGGGAAGGAACTTTAATAAAACTAGGAAACAATACAGGTAAGGCAAAGAGTCTAGTTTCTAAATGAAGCACCCAAAGTTACCCGTCCCCTTGTGGGTAAAAGTCCATCCTTATGGGATCGGTCCAGAACAAGGCCCCAAAGCCTGCTACAAGTCTAAAGCATCTTCCAGTGGGGACCCACAGAAAAGGGTCACAAACAACCGGACAAGCCCGGAAGGAAAAGAGCAAAATCAACATCAAGATAAAAGCTGCCATTGTCACCTCCCCACAGGTCTCACCCACATCTGTGTCACCCAGTCCACGACCAAAAGACAAGTGCAGTTTCTTTACGTGTCTCTAGGCTCCATGCGCCTCCTCCAGGTCTCCTGGCTCCATCCTGCTTCCTTCCTTCCTCAGTCTCTTCTGCAGCTTCTCCTCTTCCTGCTCAGCTCCACCCTCCCTTGGGTGGGGCAGGGAACCTCCCCCTTTCCTGGGGACCACCCTGTTGCAATATTACTGTATATGATGATGCTGATGATAAACTAGGTATTCTATTAGGCACTGTATTATCTCATTTAATCTTCACAATAGTTTTTTGTAAGTGATGGTATTTCCATTTTACAGATGAGGTATGAGGTTCCCAGGGTAGTTGTAGCTGTGTTACTTTATAAGTCATTTGCTAAATCATAATCTTAGGGCTCAAGTATCTGATTTCTTTCTTCCACACCGCACTGTGGCCTCGGTGTACATTTGAAAAGGAATATAAAGGTATTTTTTAAGCTATCATTCACTGAGCTAAATACCAGGGGCTGTGCTGCCTTCTTTCCTTACATCAACCTGTTAAAACCTCACATCTCTCTATTAATACAATTGCTAATTATACATATCACTTTAGAGAACCTACTCTCAAGTCCAATGACAGCTTTATGCACAAGGGAAAATCACTTTTCCTCTCCAACTTGGGGAAAGTTCTAGGGGATTTTGGTGCCACTTGCTCTTTCCTCATGTCTAACAGGGGCTGGAGCCAGATGTTGTAATCCTGCTTCTGTTTTTGCCTGGCTTCACTGTCAACTTATTGTATACTGTTTTTCCCATCCTCCTCAAGTGGGAGCACTCTGAGTGCTGTCACACAGATGCCAACATTTCAGTGGCAAAACTGTGCAATTAGAATGAAATTAACAATGTGTCAACAGTGATGCATAAAGGGAAGATTACTGGGTTTTCTGTTACATATTGCATTTTGTTTCATTGTGGGATTCAAATTAGCTCATAAATACTGGATTGTATATAACAAATACTCTTTCTAAATAAAGAAGAGAGATTCTTCACAAATGCCAAATAGACTAGATTTATGTACCTGCTTGGGAACACCCTATACTGGAGCTTTATTCGGTGCAGTGCCTATGTTATAGCAAATCCTCAGCACAGAGGTAAGGCTGCTTTCCTGAGCTCATGATCATCTAAGGTAACTCAGGCGGGGGCTTAGCAGAACACTGAGCAGGGGTACTGAAAGGCAGGTGGACAGAAGTCCATTTGCAAAAGGGACTGAGGACCACCATCAAAAACTCTCACCCCAAAGAGGAGAGAGGTCAGGGTCCATCAATTTCATGCAGCTAAAAGCCTTGTTATTGGAATGCAGAGCCTCCATGCTCAGTCTGCGCATGGCTGAGTGGCTGCCCTGCCACTGGGTCTCAAGCCAAGCCTCACCCCATGTACTCAGGTCTTGCTTTCAACAAGAGAGGACACTTTCTGCAAATATTTGAAGTGCTAAGATAAAAGCAAAACCCTAAATGAGTAGCCCTTTTATGATAACATACCACCACAAGTGCTGGAGATGTGCTCCCCAAAGTCAACCCAGACTATGTTGTAGCTCCTTTTCTTTGAAAGCTCCAGGATGGTACTAGTGATCACCTGGTAAATTAAAGGAAGTGAAAACAGTGGGTTATTGGAAGTGACAGTGTTTAATGGGAGAGTAGAAGTCCGAAGAAGGCAGTGGTATTCACTGAACTTGCTACCTGGCCAGAAGGTATGGCAGTACGTGGGAGCTAATCCCCATAGCAGCCTGAACTTGCCTTTAGAACACATGAGACCCCCCCCCCCTCCGCCCAGAGAGTGGAGGAAGATGCTTTATAGGCATTGGATCAAGGAAATAAAGAGCCTGTGAAATTTAGCTTACACCTGTAACCATGACTCCATGCAGAGGTGATCAGATGAAGCCCAGGTGATTCAGGTCTCAGGTAATGATGTAAAATAATAATATAAACTAAGAAAGTAAGTCAGAAAATGGAACAGAACCTAAATATAAGGTCTGAAACTATAAATCTTAAAATAAAACATAGGGAAGAAGTCTCATGACATTGGATTTGGCAGTCTTTTCTTGGATATAACACCAAAGCATAACCAACAAAAATACAAATAAATTAGACAATATTACAAATAATAACTTCCGTGCATTAAAAGGTACAAATTACAGAGTGAAAAAACAACCTATGGTATGGGAAAAGATTTGCAAATCACAGAGCTAACAAGGGGTTAATATCCAGAATAAAGGATTCATGCAACTCAGCACCAAAAAAATCAAATAACCCAATTAAGAAGTGGGCTAAGGATCTGATTTCTTCAAAGATAATATAGGCCAATCATCATAAACAAAGAGGCTCAATGTCACTAATAGTTAAGGAAATGTAAATCAAAACCAAGTGATGGGGCCTCCCTGGTGGCGCAAGGGGTTAAAACACAACTTATGAAGCTACCTGCAGCCTCTGCAGCACAAGTTCAATCCCCGGCTGGCCAGGGAGCTACCCACATGGCGCAGCAGACCTCTCCTGACTTGCCCACTGCTCCTCTCAGCAGTGTACTTCGGTCCATCTGCCTGTTCTGTTCCCTACTCTGTCTCTGGTGAATCCTCTCACCCCCCAGCTCTTGTACGCATAAATAAATAAATCTTAAAAAAAAAAAAGTGATGTATCGTCTCATACTCATTGGGATGGCAAATATCAAAAAAGTCAGAAAATAACAAGTATTAACTAGGCTGTGGAGAAACTTGGAATCCTTGAGCACTGCTATGAAGAATGTAAACTGGTGCAGCCACTGGAGAAGACAGTAGGTGGTTCCTTAGAAAATTACAAATAGAATTACCGTATGATCGAACAATAGCACTTTTGGGATTTGTACATCCCAAAGAACTGAAAGCAGGATATTGAAGAGATATCTGTCTACAAATATTCATAGTAGAATTATTTATAATAGCCAAAAGGTGGAAGCAACATAAGTGACCATCAGTGGATGAATAGATAAGCAAAACATGTTATATACATGCAATAGACTATTACTCAGTCTTAAAAAGGAAGAAAATTCTAACACATGCTGCAACATGGATGAACCTTGAGGATATTATGCTAAGTGAAATAAACCAGTCACAAAAAGATGGGATTCTACTTTTAAGAGTCATCTAGAATAGTCAAATTCATAGAGACACAAAGTAGAACGACGGTTGCCAGAGGCAGGGTGCAGGGGGAAATGAGAAGTTGTTCAAGGGGTATGGACCTTCAGTCGAAGAAGATAAGGAAGTCATGGAGATGGGTTGTACAACAACATGAACACACTCAACAATATTGAACTCAACACTTGAAAGCAGTTAAGGGTGTAATTATATGCCATGTGTATGTCACCACAATTTAGAAAATACATGCCCCCTTGTGGGACTCGTTTAGGAACGAAGCAGACTTCATGGCCATGAGGTGAGGGCAATGGGCACTGGCTCCTGCATTCACCTGACCCAGTCTTTTCATGAATGCCCAACTAGGTCTCCAGGAGTCAGGGGAGGCGAGTGTTGATGGTTTATAGCAATTCTTCTCAACCAGGGGAGGGGGAAAATGTCTGGAGACGCTTTTGGTTGTCCCAACTAGGAGGTGCTACTGACAACTACTGCTATCAGGCCAGGGACGTTGCCAGACATGCTACAAGGCATAGGTCAGCCTCCCAGAATGGACAATTATCTATTCCAAAATGTCAATAGTGCCTAAATGACAATGGTTTAGAGCAATCCATTCCTCCTCTAGGGAAAAAAACTCCCATTGTTGATAGTAACTGACTACGTTTTCACAGGCAGAGGAACACGCTATGTAGAGATAATTGGTACTATCTGTCCTTTCTCCTACAAGCTTTCATATGGATTTTCAGGTACCTCTGGAAAAATGTCTCTAAAGCATAATCTGTCTCATTTTTCCTCAGTGATTATGCCCCATATCAGTCATTATCTTTTGCCAGTCTTCCGAGAGCTGAAACATGAGAAGACTAAAAAGAAAAAAAAAACAAAAAAAAAAACCCTGTTATTTTTTCAGGCAAGCAATGAATCTGTCCTGCCTGTGTGTGACGATTTTATCCACACATCCAGATTGCTTAGTCACACACCCAGCTTCACTGCAAGGATGTGGCCTGCCCCTGTATGAAGTCCTCGCTGCAACCTTTTCTGTGAGTTAGAGAAAACCATGGTTCATCTCTGAATGACTATCTAGAAGGAAACTGCATTGAATTATCTGACTACAGGCATAACTTGTTCTGTGCTTTACTTTATAGCACTTTATAGAGATACTGCACATTATGCCCCCCACCAGCAAAAAGATGACAATCACTGAGGGCTCAGATGATGATTAACTTTTTTTGCAATGATGTGTTTTCAAATAAGGCATGTATGTTATTTTTTAGATGTAATGTAGTTGCAAAGCTGAGAGGCTACAGTGAAGTGTAAACATAGCTTTTATATGAACTGGGATGCAAACCATGCCTGTGAGTTGCTCTATTATGATCCTGGCTTTATTGTGGTCTAGGCCCAATCCACAGTAGTGCAGAGTGAGCCTGCATTTGGTTCACAGTGGGAAGTATTAGAGTGACAACAGCAATTGCTGTCTTCCCTAGTTAATGTGCCAATCTCCAAACCAGGTCAGCAGGCAGGCAATTCAATTTCTACTCTTTGGGGGCTGATGTTTAGGTAGAAAGAAGGGGGTATGTCTGCACTGGAATAAACTTTCCCAGACAAGAGAAAATGCAGAGATCAGGGAACCAGCAATAAAATGTCCCTTTCCTTTTTCCTGTCATAAGGTAATTATAAGTGCAGTAATTTATGCTAATTTAAAAATTACATCTTTTTAGACTGTTAGAACTGGAAGGGTGAATTCTGGCAACCCCTCATTATAGACAAAGCGTAGAGACCTGGAGAGGGAAGTGATTTGCTTAAAAATCACTGAGCTAGTAAGTCGGGGAGGGCTTTGTACCCCGAAGTGCATTAGGCCACAGGGGCTGAAGGACAGGTCATCACGATGCTCCACACACTGCGGGAGTCTGGGCAAGTCAGGATTAAATGACAGGCCGCAGGAACAGCATGTGCCATGCATAAGGGTTCAGTGCGTGGTTAAATACTGTTTAGAATTTCCCTAGGTAAACTATAAGCTCAGTAGGACTGCAAGCAAAACTTTATTCTTTGTAACATCACTCATTGCTAGATACATAAGAATGTCCCCAACATTTTATGAAAATTTTAAACATCAGCAGATGTAACTGCCTCCTAGTCACCCTGTGAGCGGGAAGTGTTCATGACCCAGGGCTCCAGGGACAGCTGAGCACATGACGCCCACCACGGACACATGAGATTTACCAGTCACACACTCACAGGCCTGGGATGAGCGAGGACGCACGTACTGTGCAGGGCCACCTGAGGGCTGCACTCAAAGACATACCAAGCCAGGGCCTTGGGGTGCAGGCTTTGTAGTACCAAGAGGGTGTGGTGCCTCCCTGGTTCCCACAGGAAGATGTGATTGACTTGGCTGAATAACACCAAGGACTGGCAAGGAACTGATACCCCTTTCTCAGGGCTAAGCAGGAGCTCCAGCTGGTGCCCGGAGAGGGAGGGCTATGCAGCTCTGGGGAGCAGAGTGGGGAGGGACACGTCCCTGAGGCCACAGTCTTGTGAGCCCATTGTCAGTCTGCTCCACTCATTGTGAGGGTCTGGGTGAGTCAGGATGAAATGAGAGGCTGTAGAAAAAGTATGTGCCACATGAAGGGGTTCCATGGGTGAGGCCCTCCTAATTGTACCAGATGTCAGAGCACCTCGTGTTAGTGAGCCTGACCTTTAAACCTTACCCCACACAGCAAACTTGAATCTTACAATAAATATCTCTACATCTATCACCTAAATTCTAATACTCACTGTTGTTACACTGGCTCTATCATATTTATCCATCTATCCATTCCATCCATGATCTACCTTCTATTTTGTGTCTCAAAGTAAATCACAGATATAATTCCTCCTAAACACTTCTACATGAATATCATTAAGTTTAATATTACATTTGTGTAGTTTTTTTCATTGATGAAAATTTAATGAAAGAAAAAATTCTAAATGTACATTCCGAGTTTTGTCAAATGCATACATCTGAGTAACCTGAATCCCTATCAAGACATAGAACATCACCATCACCCTAGAAAGTTCCCTCATGACCCTCCTCAAGCTAATTCCTTCCCTGAGCTTCCTCAGGGGCAAGCACTGTTTTGATTTCTTCTATCATAAATTGGCTTTGCCTAGTCTAGAATTTCATCTAAATGTGTGAATGTACCACCATTTGTTTATAGATTCTTCTACTGACAGACATTTAGTCACTACGCATATTTGAGTTAAAGTCTTCCTATAGATATGTTTTCTTTTCTCTTGGATATAAGCCTAAACACTGGAACATAGGCTGAATGAACATTTAGTTTCATAAGAAAATGAAAGCATTTTACCAAGTGGATGTTTTACAGTTCTGATCAACAATTCATGAGAATACGTTTTGCTTCAAATCTTCACCAATGTATGTTATTGTCAGTCTTTTGACAATCTGTATTTAACTTGAGTTTGCATGGGGCCTCCCTGGTGG